TTAAAATAAATATACACTGCAATTTGTTTTTCTTACAGACTGAATACAGATCCTGCATCACTTTTATTGCACATTTTGTGCACTGGTTACTTCTTGGTATCTTCAGTGCTGATGATTCTTGTTTCCAGTGTTTCTCCAATACCTGTAACCCCTTCTTGTAGGGTTTTAGTATTTGTGACAAGTTACTAAAGTCTACCTTATTGTAAAATTGATCAGCAAACCAATATTTTGCCCATTCATACAAAATAAATTTGAGGATTTTCTCTAATGTTAGATTTTCTCTAATAGTAAGGATGTTTGAATAGTAAGGATAGCTCTTGAATATCCTTTTTCTTCATAAAACCTCTCTAGCCTGACTTATCAACAATCACATCTGTTTTCAATTTTGCTTGTAATTCCTCATAAATGTTCATCAACTGAGGTACAAAAGGATACTCATTGTTGAGGGATTTAATGCTTCCTCCAATTTCCTTATCCATGACCAAACACAGAATCCTATCAAGCATGCTATGCTAGCAAGAAAAAAACAATGATTTGTCAAATTCCTTCGCTGAAAACACTTGCTTAAGTCTTACAACATCATCATTCTTTTTACCATTGTTAACTCTTGTTGTGTCAGCCATTTTGTGTCAGCCACTATCATCTTCACAGCACTCCATAAATTATATTCCTTAAGAGCTGTCAAAATTCCATCAGTAATATTTTCTGCCTTTCCATCTTTCAAGAACAGTGCAGCTATTTTCACTTTAATTCTTTTGATTTTCAATACTAAAACCTGATATTAGATTTCATTAAACACTTTCTATCAAACTATAGAGACCAGTCAGTTTTTTAGTTTTTATTCATGTCTTTTTTCAGTTTAAAAGCTTCCTTAAATAATGACTTATAAACCCCAGCTTGAGTTGGTGTTAGAATGTTAAAACAATTTATTCTTCCATAAACTTTGAACTTCTTTTGAAATATTCACTATTTTTTCCTTTTGACCTTTAATTTCAGCTCCAAGAAATATTGGACAACTACTTCTCTTTTGTGTGGTATTCTGCATTTTTCTTCAAGTGAAGGCCTTCTTTTATGCGGCAGTTGAAATTATATCAGATTTTAAATATCATTTTAAATTATACCAGTATTCTTGTTTTTCTCTAGAGTACTAAAACTTTAAAAAAAAATTATATTAGTTCTAAAGAAAATATAGACTGATTGCTTTCACTGTTAATTTATGCAACTTATGTTGTGTAATTTATGTAAATTATGCAATGCATATATTTTTACATATTTCACTAAAGTCCGGTAACAGTATTTAATAACCAACAAATAATATTTGCCTATTTAATTTGTCAGTTCCAATTAAAAGGTTATTCCTGTCTCTATATCACTTTCTTAACCTTATCAGCTAGTCATTTAGCAACAACAACAACAAAAACAACAACAAAAACAGAAATCGCTTATATAGTCACGGTTAGTTGTTCTAGAAAATTTACACATTTCTAGATTGTTCAACATTATTCTACACAAATCTAGAACTACCTACAAAGTTTAATGGCCTGCTGCATTATAAAAAGTCACAACGTTACCATGTGTACAATTTTTAAGCAGCCATGATGCAGTGGTAGTGTCTTTGCCTCAGAAACGAAGGATCCGTAGTTTGAACCCCACCTCTAGGCAAGTTTTGCGACATTAGGAAGGAGGAGTGAACTTCCTATTAAATGCTTTTCCACAATGCTCTGTTATAAAACTGCAAGGACTTCTTGAGGCACCTAAAAATGATTAAAAAAAAACGCACCAGTTTTAATAATATTGCTAAGAGATAGCAATATTATAATTGTAATCTATGGTGATACCTAGTTTTTATTTAGGGGTGACTTTTTTAAAAATCTAGTGGAGCTGGGCATTTTTTTATTGTTTTTAGATAAAAATTCATTGATTTACGATACAGAAAATGTAATATTTCAAAAAAAAGTTATATCCCTAAAGTATGCATGTGTGCATGTATGTATGTATTTGTCACATTTTCTAGATAATTTTAAATCATATCACCTCGTATTTTTATGAAAACTCACAACAAAGTTTTATGGTAAATAACTAATGCTCCAAATAACAGTATGAAATAATGTTAGTCTGAAATTGGTTTCATGCATGAAATTTTTTTATCAAATTAAAAAAAGAGGTTTGATCATCTATGAATTTGACATCTATGTTCTTCCACAGTTTGTAAAACATATTGCAATTGAGTTTCATCTTTTGTCAAGATTTTTATGTGATCTGAAACAAGTTTCACCCCTCTTTCGGCTGTGTGATTCACAACTTTCATAGAATTAACAACTTTGTATGCCTCCTGGTATTCGGTTACTGCACTCCATGTGTCTAGGCAATAATCCTTCATAAATGTCTGACTTATTTTAAGCACTTTAAACACATATTTTGATCTATTTGTTACAAAGTCAACTAAACTCATTTTTACAATTGTATCCATTAATCCTTTACCTTCAAACCTTTTTACCTGTTTTTTTTTTTAGCTGGCTTTTTAAGTGCCATTAACACTTTTTCTTTAGTTTGGTTATCAACATCACTGCTTAAAAAAGATAGAGGCTCGCAAGTTATTCAGTTAAATACCATAAATGTCCTGCAATGGCTTTTATGGCAACTTCTTTGTCAAATATTTTGAAATTATCCAACTTCTAAATGAAGAAATGGGAGCCCGAAACCAATGTTCCATGTAAATCAAAATTGAAAAAATTAAAAATTGTAGAAGATTCTTCTTTTCATTCTTTGTTAAATGAAATTGATGTCAAAACAAGAATATTTTAATAGAGTAGAGTGTTTTTACCATCCATTGAATTTGGTGCATAGCACCAGGAGTACGAAAAGTTATTCCACCTTGACCTGGAGGAGTTTTTCCTAAAAAAATTATTGACAGTTGCAAAAATTCTTTGTAATCATCGCAAGGTTGTTTTGTTCCTAGCAGCATATTTACAGTAAATTCTATTGCTGATGGTACGAGCAAGCCATACGCTTTGAGATCTGCATCAGTTAAAAGCCAAGATGCAGAATTGAATATACTTTACTGATCACAAAATTGTAGAAACAACTTGACCTTTGCACCAAAAGATGCTCTAAAGCAAGATTTGTAAACATGGGATAAAATCACTTAATGAGCATTGTGTTGACAGGCTGTGTATAATAAAAACTTTCCCATTAATTTTTACAGCATGGTACAAACACCTTAATGTATACCTGTGTTGCTTGAAGTAGTATCAAAACTGAGTGCCACAATTTTGTCATATGAAATGTTCCAATCTTTTAAATCTTTTTCTTTTTGTTCTATTAACTCATTTGTTCACCAGTGCATCTATCCAGTTTTGGGACTGACAACAGTTTTTCTACATTATATCCTGTCACAAATATAGGCAGCCGATCTACTTCATCTCTGCTGTTCAAATCAGGTAACAATATTCCGTCCCAATGAATGTTAATGGAACTTGTGGCTTGAATTCTAAAATGATTTTTTTTGCAACTTTATTATGATTTTAAATACGTGCATATTGAAGAATTTCATATGATGTTGAAACATGTTCAATATTGGTACCTAACCCTTGACAAATTGTAGAAAAAAACTAAGGGACCAGAATGATTCAAAATTGTCAAACAATTAAGAACTGAATAAAAAAATGCTGGATTAATCACTTTCTTTTTTTTTTATTTCTTCCCTCTTTTAGTTTTTTTGCTAAGGATGGAACAAAGTCATCTAATTCATTATCAGTACCCTGAGAGGAGCCTGATTCTGTCAAAACTGAATCTGTGACTGTTGAACACATTTTTTTTTCTTTTCTATTTAGCTCTTATGTTTCTTTTTCTTCGTTTGCTTTTTTTCTGTCTAAAATGCGTTGTTCTTGTTTGAACAATTCACAATCAACTGTACTCATGTAGCCTTTTCTTCATTCTCCTTGTAGTATAAGAAACGTCTTGTCTTCTTCTACTGTGATTAATTTTAAAGCATCTTAATGAGCAATATCAAATAGTTCTTCGATTTCTTGAGAAAAAATTTCTTCATTTTTTTTGGCGAGTTTCTGTTTTGCGGCCTTTATTCTTTTGCAGCTTTCCGTATTTCTCAACAAGTTTGTAAAAAAAATAACAAAGTGTATTATGCATAATGACTCATAAGATTAGGAAATAATAAAATATTGATAATATTCTCAACATAATTAGTATGTTAGTAATTAGATGTGATAAGTGATGAGAAATATGAAAAATTGTGTGTTTGAGCAAAATTAAAGAACTGGCTGAGCAAGCCCTAAACATGATGCATCAAAAACTTCCCAATAACATTTTTTAAATAAATGGAACTAAATAAAAGGTTGAGAGCATGAAATTAAAAAAAAAAATTTTAATGCAATTTATTTGTCACCCTAATGTATGCATGTATGTAAGTATGTATGTATGTATGTATGTATGTATGTATGTATGTATGTATGTATGTATGTATGTATGTATGTATGTATGTATGTATGTATGTATGTATTTATGTATGTTTGTGTATATAGATAACACACACAAAGCATATGAAACAAAACATGCAAAATATCTTGATTTCTTTTATTTTATTTATCATAGATTATCATACTTTAAAAATCTGGAAAATGGTTTGGAAAAAACATTCGGAAAAAAATCCGGAATTTGTTTTCCCTTATTTTCTTTTTAATTTCGCTTTTAGTTAAGTTGTTTCTAATTTTTTTTTGTTACTTTTCTTAATTTTTTATTAAGTGATGAGTGAAAAAGCATAAAAAATAAATATACCACAAAAATATATACCTCAAATTGCATGTATTGAGAATATTTTGCATATCCGGAAAAACTAAAAGTTGAAAAAAATATCCGGAATTCCGGAAATATCCAGAATTCTGGAAATATCCGGAAAAAGATAATCCCTGATTTATTATTGCTATTAACTTTTAAACCTGATTTATATAATTTAGCAAAAAATTGTTTTTAAATAATAAATTTACTGATAAGTGTCAACATTTTGAACATTACTCAAAGGAAATATCATGTCGTAGCCCGAAGCAGATGAATCTAATTGCATAACGTCCTTTGAAATATCTCCATAACCTTTCTTTGTGTTTGATAGTTCCTTAGAGTTTCCATCCCAAACAATTTCACTTGGTCCATGACCCTAAACAAGATTAAATAATTTCAATCAAATTTAGCATACAATACTTTAAAAACTAAAAGTTATTTAAGACTGAAACACTGAGAAAGTCTGAAACACTGAGAAAGTCTGAAACACTGAGAAAAACTGAAATACTGAGAAAGACTGAAACACTGAGAAAGACTGAAATACTGAGAAAGACTGAAACACTCAGAAAGACTGAAACACTCAGAAAGACTGAAACACTGAGAAAGACTGAAACACTGAGAAAGTCTGAAACACCAAGAAAGACTGAAACACTGAGCCGAAACAATAAAATGTATATTAGGGTGGATCAAAAAACAATATTTTTGAAAAATATCTGCTGCCTATTTTATTAAATAGAACTCATTAAAATGAGTTCAATTTAATAAAATAAAACTAGATTTAAAAACATTTTAAATAAAAAACATTTTTAGGTAATGGATCCCTAATAAAAAAAGTTTTTCTTATTGGGTCTCAAAGAAGCCAAATTATATAAAAATTTCAAAAATTATCATCATTTATAAAAAAATATTGAGAAAAAAAAAATTTTAATTAAAAAAATTTGTAAAAACCCATTTTTTTAATTTTTAGTTTCACAGTAATTGATCAAAAAGCAACAGTGTAACTTTATTTATTACACATTGAAAAAAAAAAAAATTACTGCGACAAAATATGTATAAATCAACAAAAATCATCAAAGTTAGTTGATTAAAAATAAAAATTGTCCATTATCATATACTTTTTAAAAGTTATTATAAATAAGCATTTTAAAGTTTTCTTGAATTTTTTTTTAAGTAAAAATAAAACTAATAATAATAACTGTCAAACTCTTAAAATGAACTGTTCATCAGCTATTGTTATAAAAATAAACTCTAGAAAAGTTCAGCAGCAATTGTTATAAAAATAAAGAACTAAAAAAACAAAAATCAAAAGGATTTTTATTCTTTAAACTGTTTTTAATTCAATAGTTTAATTTGCTTTCTCAAAATTTGATCTAATTTCACTTAAATGTTTATAGCCTAATTAAAAATTGATTTTTAAATACGTTGTCTATATATAAAAATATACTTTTAAATAATGCATCAAATAACAATATCATTTTTATTACTAGTGTTTCAGTACTGAATAATTTCAATTCTGGTAAGACCAGTTTAAACTTAAAAAAAAAATTAAATATGATTAAAATCTTAAGTAAGAAGAAACATTTTAATAGAAAAAATTTATAAAGTTTTAAATAAAATAAAATTTTTTTAAATAAAATAAAGACTTTTTTCATTTTGTAATTGTTCTTCCTTTTCAAAAATAGCCAATAGAATATAAAAGGCATAAAGTGTCATCCTCCAGAGGTAATCTTTATTTTGTTACAATGTTGTCACTTGCTAAAAATCAATGAATAACCCTACAAATACTTAAACACAAAACAAAAACCCTACGAAAACTTAAAAGTTGTAAAGCCAAAAAGTGTTGAATTAGAATTCAACACTTTTTGGTTTTACAGTTTTTAAGTATTTGTAGGAGCTTTGAAAATATTCCTGAGTTCCTCCTTAACAAATTTCAATATTTTTTTATTTTTAAATTTTTATCATTTAAAAGAGATGGCTAAAGCTTTTCTTTCAATGACAAGTTTGCAGTTCAAACTTGTCAGATAAAACACTGGCAGAATCAGATAAAACACAGATGGAAGGGAGGTGATTGTATGCTCATTGATTGATCTGCTCTTTCATTCAACAGCATTTACAATTGGTGATTTGCTTAGGTGTTTAAACTGCTTGATTTTTATTCTTGTTTTGCTGATGTTTTTTGTGCAGATAGTGAAGCAAGCTGCAAAGTTGTTTTCGTTTATTCATTTGTTGCACCAAGACAGCATTCAACTTAACAGCTAAATTCATTTCTCTAAGGATATTTATCATGAACAATAGTGTTGTATCACCTGACAATTGTTGCTATCTAACAACTATGTTGTTATGTAACAATTATGTTGCATCCATTTCAACAAAATGCTTTATTCTTTTCACTTACCACAATTACAAACCCGCTGAAAAAATGTTCTTCACCATTATTGCCTATGCTTGCATAATTGTCACAGTTATTGTCACTTAAACTGCTATTCTTTTCATTGCAGATTTCTTTCAAGCTCTTTTTAGCAGAAGTTGACGCTTTTTAAACACATATAAGTGAGCACAAACATTAACTGAAATTAAATTTTTAAATATAATTATTTTTGGTGCAATTTTCCTTTTGACTTTTTTTAATTTTATAAGACATATAAAGAACAGCTATTATGTATATGATACTTTTAAAGACCGTGACTTTAACTTAAATATCAAATTATTGTTTGCAATACTGACTTTTTGTAGTTTCTTTTGTATGACATATCTTTCATATTTTAAGATTTTCAAATAAATTGGATAAAACGCATTTTACCACAATAGAACTTAAAAAAAAGATATAAGATCTTTACCTTTTATCTTCATAACTTTTTTTTAATCAAAGCAAAATGAAAGAATATTAAAAAAAAAATTTTTTTTTCCTTGGCAACTTACAAAATAAAAAATTTCAGTAAAATAAAACTTACCAATTCACATTGACCACAAACATCATTTATCATCTTTGTCAAGACTGTTGGAAATATTCCATTTACAATTAGTGATCCATTACGTGATTTTGATGAATATATGTATGGAGGATTATTGTACCAACTCATCTGAATAAACTTTGGGCATAAACATTTTTCTATAAAAAGCATTATAAAAATACTAAATTTTATTACAATACCATATTATTACTATTATTTTTATTATTATTAAAAATTATGATTTAAACTTTAATGTTTTAATTCACTTTATAAATAATCAGATAAAACTAAAAAAAATTAGGCATGATAAAATATTAAAAAAATCTTATTCAATATCTTCTTATAAATTAAATGCTTTTTTGCGGCAATGTATACAAAATTAAAGACGAGAGAATTTAAAAAAATATAAAATCTAATTTAAACTTTTTATAATTATTTAGAGCAAAACAAAAAATGCCTTTTTTTAAAATGTCTTTTTTATTATTTTTATTATCAATTACTTAATTTTTAATTTAAAACATTTAAGTTTTCAAATAAATATTTTCTCAAACTTTCCCCCTAAACAAAAATTGATTTTAATGTTTCATAAAATGCGCAAATAGCTTTAGCATAATTTTTTATTGATTGATTTTTAAAATACAGCGCAAATTTTTTGGACCTTTAGAAATTTTTTTTTTTCCTTACAACTTTTTTTTTTTAATGATCTATAAATTACCTTTACCTGTTTAAAAAAATAATTAAAACTATGTAATTAAATTTTAGTAATAAACTTTTTGTTTTGTTTTTTCATTAATTTTTACAATACGATAAATAACCGTTTCATTCAAACAGTGTTTATAATTAACTGAGAATTCAATAACCAGAAATATTTCCAGATATTGCGCAATTCGCAATCACCTAATTTGAGCCTTGATCGTATGAAATGAAATAAAATTGGAAAAATTAAATAATTAAAAACGCTATTAACAACAAATGAAAAAAGTTGATATGGTATTTTAATGAATTTTTTGGCCTTAGCTAATCAGAGACTCTACACAAAGTGAACTTTATGGCCAAATAAAAAAATAATAAAAAACTACTGATCAAGTGCAAAGAAGGGAAAAAATCCTCAAAGCTATATGAAGGGCTATAGCGACATTAAGAATAGCAATATTCAAACCATGATCATAAATAAAATGTAAAGCATCAAGAAAAAGTGAAACATTATCTGGAACAATGTTGGAAAATATTTTAATTTATAGCAAAAAATCTATGGATCAATATCTGAGCCAGGTGTATCTGTGAGTGCAACATTTAAATCCTAACTTTTTATACATTTCATTACAATGTCACATTGCATGTTTTTAATTGCATCAATTTGCTGATGATATTAATTTGAAACAATAAATTGTACTAGATGGCTAAAGTAACCAAAAATAAAAAGTTTTAACATTTGTTTCGCCCGTACAGATGCTTTATTCGTTGAACACATACTAACCATAGGGAAAAGAATTGTGTATCTTCTTCATTTTGAGCATTTGAGGTTGATGCTGCCAAATGAGATGACTCACAAGTAAAACTCACAAATGAGATGACTCACAAGTAATTAAATTTAATATAACAAGAACTATACTACTCAGATTTTCCTTTGCACTTTATTGCACCAGACTCAAAATAATGTTATAACATTTTCACCAAAAAAAATGCAAAAATAAATCATTTATGATTCTTATTTTATAAAAACCAAAAAATTTTCTTCCTTTTTAATATGAACTTTTAATTCAATTAATTTTATAACAAATTTGTTCAATAAATTGAAGATATTAATCTATCAAAATTCAAAGAACTTATATAGCTATAAAACCCCTTGAAGAAATTTTTTTTTTGTAAACAAACTTTTGCTTGATTACTACTTATCTATTATGTATCTATAACATAGTGTTCGAAGAATTTATATAACTATAAAACCTCTTAGGGAATTGTGATGAAAAACAACTTTCTTTTTAAGATAAAACTTTTGTTTAAATTAAACTTCTATAAATGTTGATAGAATCAATGTTTGAAGAGATTAATTAACTATAAAAATCCCTTTGCAAATAAAAAATAAATTTCTTTTGTAGACAAACTTTATAAAATCTTTAAAACCTCTAAAAACTTTTGAGAGGCCCCCTTCAATCAAAGGCCCTAAGCGACTGACTAGTTTGCCTGTACCTAAGGTTTGCCCTGATCAAAATTTTTTCTAGGTTTGTATTAATTTTAATAATAATATAATAACCTAACCTCTAAAAGAAGATTAAGTTTGATTAAAATAACTGAAAAAATCATTAAAATAACTGAAAAAATTTATTGGTCACTTTTTAATTTAGCTTTAGTTATATGAATTACGCTGAATTAATAATTAATGAGAGATAATAGTACATCAAAATGTTTAACAAGAAAAGCAGTATTGAAATGAAAATGAGAAAAAAGAGTTTTTGTAAATGTTGGCAGAGATGAAATCTTTTATAACAATGTATTTATAATTTACAGGGTTTGCAACCAAATTTATGCATATTATACATTACATTAGTTACTTGTTTTTTATGAGTAAATGTGTTTTTGTAGCAAATAAAATGTTAGCTATGAAAGATAAAGCTTAGGAAGTGAAAAAATATTGAGAACATATTTTTTATATTCATTGCACTACCTACTACAACCCTAAAGCTGACAGTCCATGAGCTGATGACAGTCCATGGGCTGATGACAGTCCATGGGCTGATGACAGTCCATGGGCTGATGACAGTCCATGTGCTGATGACAGTCCATGGGCTGATGACAGTCCATGGGCTGATGACAGTCCATGGGCTGATGACAGTCCATGGGCTGATGACAGTCCATGGGCTGATGACAGTCCATGGGCTGATGACAGTCCATGAGCTGATGACAGTTCATTGGCTGTCTATTGACTAAATGCTGATAAATGTGCTTTGTAACCTCTATGTAAACTAGCTGTTTTATAATTACAATCATTTTTTTAAAATCTTTTTCACAAGAACCACACTCTTGAGAACAAATATTTTTTTATTGTTGCAAAGATCTAAAAAAATTTAAAAAGGTGCTGTCTTTATTCCCAGTTTACTAAATCTTAACTCAGAACTTAGGTTCCAGAGACTTTTGGAAAATTTTCAACAGTGTGAAAGATAAGTCGAACATTAATTCATCATCTCTAATTCATGGGTCAGATCTTATTACCTCTCCCAAGGAAAAAGCAGAACAATTTTCAAAGAGAATTTTCTCCAATTTGATTCTTAAATCTAACAGCCATTCTCTTTATGTCATTCCAGTTAAACAGATTTTACCATTGTTAGACATCTAAATTATTCCCCCTTCCATTTCTTAAGTCATTTATCAATTTAATTTGTATGAATGTTGTCTGGATTACAATATAGCTTGTGGTCCAAACAACATTGCTGCGTTCCCTAGGCCTCTTTTTAATTCTCTCTAAATTAAGAAGAGTTTGACTTAATATTGTTTTCCTGACTGCTTGAAAATGGGATATGTAGCTCCAGTTTTGGTAATCCTGCAGTTAAACAGCTTAAATTAATTTCACTTTTTTTAATTTTATTTTAAAAAACCATGGAGGGTGTAAATTGCATTTTAATAAAAAAATTAATAATAACTTGTACTAATAATTATTATTATTAATAATTTATATATTTACAATAATAATCAATATTATTATTAAAATGTCTTCTCCCTTCGTTTTAAAATCATAACTTTTTAGTAACAAGCCCCACACAAGTTGTCACATAACCACAAACCCCTAGCCCCCTTTCTAGTGCATGAAATATTTTATGGACAACCCCTAAACCCTTTAGTTATTTTTCCTATTACTTACAAAGCATTTCAGCCAATCAACAAATTTCTAACATCCTATCTTCAGTCTAATAACTTAAAAAAAAAACACAGGGATTTTGATCTTCACATTCTACAGCTGACTTGCTGTAACTGAAAGATGATTTGGATCTCTCTTCTATCTTTATGTTTTCCTGACAGATAAAACTTACAATTTTTCAAGTCTTCTGTCAACCTTTTCCTTGTACTCTAACAGTACTCATTGTTTTTAAGAACTACCAATTTAATAGTGGTTGCTTGCAGCTTTGTTGAGAGTGAGTAATTTAAGAAAAAAAATTAATAGTTTCAAATTGCTTAAAACATTTTTTTTAGAGCATATTTTATGTTGCCATAATAACTACTAACATTTCTAATAATAATTGAAAACAATAATATAATTTATTTTGTAATTTACCTGTCACTTTTAATTCAAAGGTTTTATTATCAACTCCTCGTTTATTTGATGCTGTACATTGGTATATTCCAGAATCCGCTATTACCAAGTTTTGAAACAAAATATCTCCATTTTGAAACAATGCCTATACATACATACATACATACATACAAATATATATATATATATATATATATATATATATATATATATATATATATATATATATATATATATATATATATATATATATATATATATATATATATATATATATATGTATATATATATATATATATATTCCTTTAGTAAAGATTTTAAACTTACCATTTTTTAAATAAAAAATGGCACTTAATTAAATAAACTTATTGTTCATTTAAATAACCACAGAAATGCAAATTAAATGACTAGAATGTTTTTAAAATCATACTGAATGCTTTTATTTTTTTTTTTTAATAAAAACATTCCAAATTTTTTTTGATTTTTGATTTTTTTACTGTAAAATATGAGCGGAGAATTGCTGGTAGCAGGAAAATATCCCCCCAGAAAAAAATTTCCCCCCTCCCCCAGAAAAAATCTGGGGATTTTGTTTTTATGGCGCATAAATTAAACTATATATTAATATAGTTGTTTATAGTATAAATATTTTATACATACATATTATAATACAAACAGAACCTTAATCCTTCATTTTTCATAAATTGACTGACAAACATGTAGAACATGCAAGGAGTGCTGCTACATTGACTGAGGGTTTTGGCTTAATTTTATTTTTTGCGAGGATTTTTCTTAGTGGGATATTTTTCGAGGGGATTTTTTCCGGGGGATTTTTCCTAGAACCAGAGTTACTACATTGACTATCTTATAGCCTGCTACAAAGAAGTGCTGCTACAATGACTATCTTAAAGTTTGCTGTTTCAAGGAGGAGTGGCAACATCAACTATCTGATAGCTTGCTGTTAAAGTGCCGCTAGATCGACTGAGGGTTTGGTTACAGCAGGCAGTCTATCAAATAATAAAAAAAAAACTTTAACAAAAATGTTTTTAAACTTTTTCTGGTGTTTAAAACAATTTAAAAAAAAAAAAAAAAACCTAAACTTTACATTTTATTGAAAAAATTAATAAACAACCAAGCAAAAGTATATATATATATATATATATATATATATATATATATATATATATATATATATATATATATATATATATATATATATATATATATATATATATATATATATATATATATTACTTCTTTTATCTTATTGCTTATAGAATAATTCAAAAGTTAAAAAATGATAATATATATATATATATATATATATATATATATATATATATATATATATATATATATATATATATATATATATATATATATATATATATCTATATATATATATATATATATATATATATATATATATATATATATATATATATATATATATATATATATATATATATATATCCAGTTCTAGGAAAAATTTCCCCAGAAAATATCCCTCTGAGAAAAAATCTTTGCAAAAAAAAAATTAAAAAAAAAAATTGCTTTGAAATTAATAGCTTGCCTGCCCAAACCAAAATTCTCAGTCATATACATTGGAATGTACTCTAATTATACTAAAATCAAAATTTCAAAAGTTGTTCATAAATATTGCAAGGATGTTTTAATAAAATTAATTTTCACTACTAATAAAATACAAGATTGTTTTTGCTTAAAAGAGTCACTTCCTAAAATTGCCTTTTCACTTCTTAAATCTCATGTTGTCTGTAAATTTTCTTGCACTGGCTGTAATGCCAGTTATATTGGAGAAACCTCCAGACATTTGGGAACTAGAATAAATGAGCACCTTAAAAGTGATAAACAATCTCATATATTTAAACACTTAAATTTATCTGTTAATTGCAAAAATCTGGCTAACTGAGATTCTTTTGAGATTTTGGATAATGCCCCAACCAAACACAAATTAAATATAAAAGAAGCCCTCCACATTAAATGGGAAAGTCTCTAACTTAATAAACAAACTTCACATTATGCTATAAACTTATCTATTTAATTTTACTGTCAGTTTATTATTATCATTTTTTTTTTTTTTTTGACAGTTAGTTATTTTGATTGGTTATTTATTGAGTTATTTTCTACTAAATATATTGGTTCATTATGTAAATTTTTGTCCGTTATTATTTTTCTGTAAAGACTTCTATATTTTAATATTTATTTCAGAGTTTTATTATTGTAAAATAATCTTTTGAAAATGTAAATAAAATTTTACGAAACATGTGAAGAATAAAAAACGCCGTGTTATATATATATATATATATATATATATATATATATATATATATATATATATATATAATATATATATATATAAGCTTGGGTCAACTCAAAGTCGACAGCGATTATTTTTTACACCATAAGTCGACATAAAAAACTTTCTTTCTTAATTCATTTTTTACTAACAGATGTTGCGTAGATTAAGTATTTGTATAGAAAAAAAATTTAAGTGATCATTTAAGCCCCTGTTTAAAAAAATATATAAAATTTATCGACTTAAAGATTTTAACGCATGCACTTATATTACAACTTGACGTTGTAGAAATAGTATAAAATAAATTTTATACGCATATTTTAAAGCTTATATGTCATTTTTACATATATTTATATTAAAAAAATTTATAAAAACATAGAAATATAAAAATATAAGTAAATATATTTATTATTGTTGACTTGACGCAAGATTTACGAATAGAATAAGTCTACTTATAGTTGAAAAATAACATATTATATGATGTCTAAATGTTAATTTTTTTTAAAAACTGGTCGTATATTATTTTAACTAAATAGTTTTTTAGGGGTAAGCAGAAAAATTCTGCTAACCAGCCTCGAACCTCTTCTTTATCTATTAGGCTGGCATAGATGTAACCTGTGTTACATTGTTTCCTGCCTAGGATGATGAATGCTGGATCTCCTTGACTCTACTCATAGAATTTTGCTTATGCCTCCTTGATAATGGCTATGCAACTCTTCCTGTTATCTCCTGTTATATATGAGGGTACAGCTCTAAAACTCAGTTTAATGGTTCTGAGGCCGGCTGGTAGTAAGGTTTCCCGAACTCTGTGGTAGCTCTCAGAGAGGCTGATTCCATCAACAGCTGCAAAATATCAGAGTATTAACAGTGCCATGTTGTGCATGGATGGTGTCCCTGTTAATGCTTTAGGTGTGCATTGTTAAGGCCACATAAGGAGCCCTATGTCACAGCTTAGGGTTAATTAACAGGACTGAGACAACTGCATAGCTCATTGATTAGGAGGCTGTGCTCTATCTATAAAAGAGTCAAGTTCTCATTAAACCCAAATCATGACAGAAATAACCAAAAATTTTAAACCTAAAAAACCATCCCCACCACCTAAATGTTTTAATATATCTTTTACAAATATTCGCGTTCTGCGAAGCAACTTTCCGTCAGTTGAGTCTTACCTCCTGCAAAATTCACCAGACTTGCTTGCACTCAGTGAAACAAATTTAAATTCTGCAATTCCTTCTTCAGATGTCAGTGTTGATGGGTACTATCCTTTGATTCGTAAAGACTCCAATAGTCACATGCTAGGTTTAGGGATATACATACGCATTAATTTCCCTATTTCTCGTGAAATCAGGTTCGAATCCTTTGACCATTCTTTTATGTGCTTTCGCCTAGCACCTCTTCACTCTATCACCTTTCTCTTTGTTCTTTATCGTTCTTTATCGTTCTCCTTCTTCCTATGATTGCACTCTTTTAGATGTTATCTCTGATCAAATTGACCATGCCCTTTCTCTTTACCCCTCTGCCAATATTGTTGTTGTTGGTGATTTTAATGCCCATCACACTGAATGGCTTGGCTCTAACACCACTGATCCTGCTGGCACTAAAGCCTTTAATTTCTGCGTTTCTCAATCTCTTACTCAGATAGTTAACTTTGTGACTCGTTTTCCTGACAACCCTAATCATTTAACTTCACTCCTTGACTTATGTCTTGTCTCTGACCCTAGCTTATGTTCAGTTTCTCCCTTTTCTCCCTTAGGTGGTTCTGACCATGCAATGATCTCTATAAATCTTTCTTCCCATACTTCTTTTTTGGGCGCACCTTATCATCGCACCACCTACTACTACCCTAAAGCTGACTGGGATTCTTTTAGCGATTTTCTTTGTGATGGTCCTTGGGCTGATGTTTTTTCTCTCTCAGCTGATAAATGTGCCTCCTACGTAACCTCCTGGATTCAGGCTGGAATGGAAGCTTTTATTCCTTCTCGTCGGTTTCAAGTCAAGCCTCATTCTACTCCATGGTTTTATCCTTCTTGTGCAGCTGCTATATCCAATTGTAATCATTTTTTTCATCTTTTTCAAAAGAACAACTCTCTTGAGAACTAACGGCTATTTATTATTGCAAGAAATCGATGTAAAAAGGTGCTTTCTGATGCTAAACTCCATTATTCTCAGTTCACTAAATCTCGCATCTTATCACAGAAGTTAGTCTCTAAAGACTTTTGGAAAATCTTCAACAGCATTATTAACAAGGGTAGATCTAACATTCCATCTCTCATTTATGGGACTGATCTTATTACCTTTCCTAAGGATAAGGCAGAACTATTTGCAAAGAACTTTTCTTCTAATTCCACTCTTGAATCTTACGAACATTCTCTTGCTTCCATTCCAGTCAAACAGGTTGACCCATTGTTAGACATTCAAATCACTCCGGCTTCTGTTGCTAAAGTCATATCTCAATTAAACTCGTCTACAGCTTATGGTCCAGACAACATTCCTGTCACAGTCTTGCAAAATTGTTTTCCAGAACTTTCTTCAGTTCTCTCTAAACTATTTAACAAGTGTTTGACTGAGTCTTTGTTTTCCTGCTTGATGGAAAATGGCATCTGTGGTTCTAATATTCCAAAACTCTATAGAAAATTCTGACCCCTCCAATTATCGTCCGATCAGTCTTCTTTCTGTTACTAGCTAGGTCTTTGAGTCTGATCAACAAATTCCTCACATCTCATCTTGAGTCAAATAAACTACTGTCAGACAATCAATACGGTTTTCGATCCTCTCGCTCTACGGCCGACTTGCCAACTGCTGTAACTGAAAGAATTTATCGTGCATTAGAT